TGGACAATTCTGAGAATAAAAGTGGAGTCGGTCGTTTGTTTACATCGTTGATTTCCGCTTATCAATTTAAATCATATTCATCCATACATAAAAATGTATGAAAATGTTTGTTTCCTTTGGCGAAATACTCTATTGTGCAGGCGCAATATAAACGAATGCATAATTATGCGTAAAAAACATAAATATCAAGGAAAATGTAAAGATGACATTTGCAGAAGCGCCAAGGCAGTGATATCGCTTTATGCAAAACTTCATTCATAATTCTACATTTTTTTCTTAGAAAACATTATGTAATTAACATAAATAACACGCACACTAGAAATACCCTTGAAAACTATTCGGAAAGCAGTACAATGCAAGCAATACATTAACACTATTTTTCTTTTTTTGTAAATTTTTCATACTTTTCGAGGAACACAGGCACACGGGTTGAAAGAACCATCGCGTCAGTCACGTGAAACGACGATATCATTGTCCGTCTTCCTTTTCAATTTATTCTATGTGTACCCGCCATCTCTGATATCCCTGAGGCAACGATGCTGACGAATACTAGTGATGAGAAATTCCTCCGAAAGGCATATCCAGAGAGGAAAATTAGCACGACTCGCGATGATACCGAAACTGAAGAGGAATGGCGCGCACTGCTCGCACGAATGTAAACAATCTTGCGAATACTTAAAACAAATTTTGTTAATTTCAATAAGTAATAAATTTCATATTTACTAACCTATTATTTTATAGCATGTACTAAATTCATTCTCATATTCTTTGTGTTGCAATTCATATTATTTAACATAAATGAAAACATTCTCGAATATAGCTCTTGATTTGACTATGCTTGGGTGAAAAAGTTGACAGAAAGGTTTTTCAAATGGAAACTATAAACATCGTCTGACTGGAAAATCGATAATTCTCTATAAGATTTAAAAGCCAGATAATTTTAAAAGAAAATGTAAAAGTCCTAATGTGACGGCATCTAATTTTTAACCTAAAGGCCCTATTTCACTAGCACTTTTTCCGTCAAATTTTGCGTTTCCGTCTGAATTTGAGGCTTTCCGCAAATATCGTCTGCAAACGGAACGCCTTCCAGACGAAGACGGTTACGACCGCTTCCGTCTGACTAATTCCCGTCTTGATCTTGTGCAACGAAGGATCTATACAGCTAGAATGTATTTTTATTGATAAATGAAAAATACATATGGAAGAACTTCACAACGTCGAATGTTCCTGTTACCAAGTTAAGATCCTGCCGATGTTCCTCTTCGCCTTCGCTACCAAGTCCTCTTCTGATCCATGCCTAAACACATCACGTCTGCCCCATTACTTCGTTCTGACTACTCACGCCTGTGCTACTCTCCCGACGAAGTCACTGGAGACGCATCTTCATACTCTATGACGCCACGCTCACCAGTGCGGCTCACCTGCCTCGTCAAGTCTTCGCGAACCCTCGTCAGCAAAGCTAAGATGTCGCCCCCTACACCACCGACACTTCCTCGCTACTATCAAGAGTAAGTGTACCTCTTTAGTGCCAGATTAACTATTGCCCTCCCTATACCCGCCCACACCTTATATTATGAATTGCTATTTTTTCTTAACGAACACACTACTACTCTAGGCCTATACGCTCCTGCGGCGACCCAAGTTACTTAGCTTCGCATGCACAAACGTCTTTTAAGGCGCCTTATCCCTGCTTTAAGTCCCGCAGCGTTGAAAATTATTTAAGGCATCGGTTCATCAGTGGCCGATTACAGTTGCCGTTTCAGGCCGTAAGATCGCTCGGGAAAGGCGACATCAGTAGCAACTCGAGGTGTCATGGCGTCTGTTTTGATGATTGTTCAATGAAAATATAACCATTTAAATCATTATTTCCCATCCTTTTTGATAACTGAAAAGACCAAAATGATCGACCATATTCACAAAGCATCCGTAACTTCTGTGACGTCATCAAAATAAAGCCCATGTGCTTCTTTTCCAAAAATAGAATCAGAATCCATGACACCTCGAGTTGCTCCTGACCCAGACTCTTGACAAGCTCTCACCTCACACCTCATTCGCCTACACCAACAATTCTTTAATTGATATATTGTTGTTATTCGACTTTTTTCAGTAGATCATATTATTGACGACTTTACATTGCGCAGTTTAGTTTGTTATTTTTTTTCTCAGAGCAAATAGCTTCACTTCATTTCACTTGATTATTGTAATGTTTGGTTGTCCCCGTGTATAACATTCTTGTTTATCGGTTACGAATTTACGTTATCATTCTTTCTCTCTTATATGGTATATGTATTCGTAATTACCTCTTACTGATTGCGTCTTTACTTACATTCTTTGATTTTAAACCTACCGTTGTGTTCTTTTGAAACATCACTTCCTTTTACTTGCCGCGCTATCCGTTCGCTTACTCACACATACATATCGTTGACTCGCTTTGCTCAAATAATTGACCGCTCTACACAGAATTACTCTAGTCTATTACGAGCGAATCTTGCCCGATGGA